TTTATTAATTTATTGTAATATGAATTCTTTTGCTAACATTATAAACAAAACTTGAAAATTTATTTCTGCCACAGATTTGTGAAATATGGCTATCGGAAATGATTCGAAAAGCTAAATACATAAGGATAAATTTATTAACATTAAACTAACACAATTTGAATGTGTATGTTTATATTTCGAACACAAATATATCATTTTAGTACAAACAATCAGAGCTCTGCGGGATACCGGCTGAGTGGATCCGCTCGTTAATCATTTGCATTTGAAAAATATTTGTTTGAAAAGGTCTTCCGTACCGTACCCGGAATCGAATTACAAATTTTTACCACCCACATTCGCCAAAAATCGTAAAAACAAAACGCCTTCGATAAATAGATAATAAATGTAAAATGATAATATTAGAAATGGATAAATAATAAAAATATGCATTAGGATTAAAATAGTTGCCAACCAAGATCTAGCGTATTAAAATATTAGTTGAAATCATTAGCTGATTGTCGGCAACGTTCGCTCAGCAAGTGACGTCACAGTCCTAGTTACCCCTGTTACAATATGCTCTCAACTTCCCTAGGCATAATGATTTAATAATAGAATTACATGTTTAAATTTTCCTGCATATTAATTTTAATAGCAGATTCCAAGAATGTAGAAATTACTATTAAAAGCTGACTGATACCTGTTGATTACAGGAACGTGTGACAAAAATATAAAATCTATTTATATTTTCTCTTTTTTATGGATCTTAGAACTAGAACTGAAACAACCGAGGCAAACTCGAGAAACAGTTTTTTTTTTCAACATTTGACTATATGGATCTTCTCGACATACATATTTCAAATGTGTCGGGAACTGCTCTGCGTTATTTATAAGGCGACAAATTGAAATATGGGATTATTAATTGATTTTCATTAATTATCGGGTGTTGCATTCGGAATTTAGTATGAACAAGGATTTTATGCAATGATTAACTAATAGCAATAAATAACACACGTTTTTTATTAATACCCAACAAAGGATATATATAAACAAGAACTTGTATGAGTTGTATAGTGTATTAATTAATAGTAATTGTGTAATTCGAACTAATTATTAATTAATTTGAATACATATACTTATATCTAATACAACTATGCAATTATCATTATTGAGAACATATGCAACACTTATTCTTGAAAATATATAAAAGAAAAAGGCAAATGAATATCAGCATCAACAGTAAATATGTTGCAGCAGTAATTATCATTACAACTTTTAGTTGTTTTGTAAAATACATAAATGCATATTAATATTTGTATAAGCATAAAACTAGTTCTTATACTAATTGATTTTTATTAATGTTCCAAACTTCAATTCTTTTTTTTATTAAATAAATAGATTCATTTGTAAAATTCAGATTGATATTTCAATTTCCAACTGGTATGATTTTTGCTTTGAAATATTTCCAATATAGTTAAAAATCGCATTAAAAAAAAACTCATAAATCAAAGGCATATGGTACAAAATACTAATAGATTTTTAACGAGATCTCTAAAAACGTCACAGCTATGGTGTACCTATAGTTTTTTTTTATGATGATGATTATTTCACATGGATACAATCATCCCTTTATAAAAATAAATTTGAAATATTAATTTAATTGCGCATTTATGAAATGTTGAATTAGGCCATGAATTAATTTTTAATTTAGGATCCATCGGGTTGATCTAAGTATATCATTTTATTACAATACATTATTTGTTTTTTTATATTTATTAGTTTATTCTCTAAATAATGTAACTAGTGAAACTATGATTAGTGATAAACCTAAACAATAATTGCCTATCTCTATTTTTACGTTGAAGGCTAAGGAAAGGCTATTTCCATATAGGGGCATATTTTTGAAAATTCTTGTACTCGAAAGTTTTTATTTCAAGGGTGGTCTGTATGAGGTCATAAATCCAAAATGTCAAGAGATATGAGCTGATCCTAATGCAGATGCAGATGAAAAAATCATTGGCACTTATGAACAGAGGGACATTTTCGATATTTTTAACGACGCCACACGGTGTCATATAGGGATGAAATTTATTTAGTCTGGTCTAGAAGTGGAATCAGCAAATAATTTGTCTAGTAGGATAATAATAGGTAATCGGTAATGCAGTTATAGGATTGGTAAAAAATTACTTCAGAAATTTGCTTAAGTACATAGATTTCAAACTTTTGTGTCATAGACACTTGGACTTTGCCATGGACTTTCATTTTTATTTATAAATTTTCAATTGAACTAAATTTTTTTAATAAATATTTGCATGAAATAATGCATGGTACTTGTGTACATTAATAATTGATTTTAAATCAATAATAAAAAATAAAAAAAGCGATAAGTAAATGTTTAGTTATAAACATTTGGCAACAATTTGGTAAAGTTTCATCTTACATCTTCCGGCTAATGATGTCCGGTCTACATCTATTTTTTGTTAGGAGATCACTATTTTACAATTATTAAATCGTTTTTTATCTTTAGTATCGGAAAATACTATGACTGTCGCAAAAAATAACAGCCAAGCCTCAAGAGTCAGCAAATTGGGTCTTTACAAACTTAACGAAATGCTTACTTGTGTTATAATTTAATTTTTATTTAAAAAATTAATATTTTTATTTACCCAGCTCTTTTTATAAATATTACATTGTATAATATGAGTAAAATGATATTAACTTGGTGTATTGTGATTTACTATCGTGAACCCCCATTTTCATTTTGTGACCCAGAATTTTTTTTCGGGGGTCCATATTGACACCTTTAAAAATCACTGATTTAGTAAGTAATCAACAAAATATTTTGTAACTTTTAACTTTAAATATCTGTTATAAAATTTAACACAATGCTATCATTTTCATGCATCTTTATCCTGCATATTTGTTATGGGTTTTTGATTGGAGCCAGATTTTTTTACGGTGACATGGATGGTGTCATAGACCCCTGGGGGTTCATATTAACTAAAATTTTTGGGAAACACTGATTTAGTATGCAATAAAAAATATAATTTCTAATTTAGAACTGTAAGTGTCTATGTTATAAAATTTAACGCAATGCTATCATTGGGGCTCGCCCGTAGGTAAGCGGTAAAGAGCGACGGAACCTGAATCAGAGGTTCCGGGTTCGATATCCACTTCGAGCAGCTTGTTGTCAGGCAGCAGTGACAACGATTTTCACTTGGAAATATAGATAGCAATATGTTTCTAAGTGAAAATAGCCCTTGCCCGGCATTGCTGCACCAATAAAAAGTCAGCCCTATTAGATTAATTCTAATAACAAAAATCATCAAATATGGATGTAATAACCATTGGGTTACCATCTAAAAAAATACGAAGTAAGGAGAAGTTTCAGCCCAACAGGTCATAGGACGTAAGGTTCTGATTGCTGTTAAAAATATATATAAAAAAATGGTATAATTTTTAAGCATTTTTTATCTTGCATATTTGTTTTATAGCTATCAGTAGAGTCTCTTTTCAAACTTCTCGTTTGAAATTAAAGTTTTCTCGCCAGTAAAGTTAATATTCTGGATTAAAATTAAGTAGAGTTTCTTTTTTATCTTTAAGATTTCTAAATTATGTTTAAGATTTGTTTTCTAGATCAGATCCAAGTTAGCTCGTCAGTAGAGCCCCTTTCTTTACCTTACAGATCAGAATTAAGTAGAGTTCTTTTATATCGTGTTTCTAGAAAACCTAATTTTCTCGTCAATAAAATCCCTTTTTTACCTTTGATTTATTATTATCTGATTTACCAAATTAAAATACCTTAGACATTCGTAATTTTATTTGCATTTATTTGGCAAATATGTGTCCTTTACCTTTCGATTCGGGCGATTCCGTGTCTCTAATTAGCGTGAAGTGTATCCGCATAAGTGAACTTGTCAATCACTCCCTTGACACGTGTTCTTCGGCAGCACGTCTGTCAGCGGCCACACAAGCGCGAAGGCGGTCGAATGATATAACGAACTACTAATGACTATTATATGTGCGCTCATTATTTAAAATGTAACAAGATACGAAATTCGTCATCTTTAAAATTCATTACCTTTTTTAAAAAACGTTATAACTATTATAGAACACTAATGACTTGGTGGTAAAGACACCAGAGGTCTTCTGGGTGGATGGATCGAACGAGTCTTGCGCAGAGTCTCATGATCAGAAATATTTTAATTATTTGGTCCACATTGCTTCGTATTTTGGTCTATCTACCTCTATAATTGTTCAAGTATCTAGTATATTATTTAAGGCTTCTGTGAAGTAACTGTATGACGTGTATAAGAAAACTAAACATTAGTGAAAACATTTACTGTAAATAAATTCCATAAAAACACAAATATGCAATATCAAAAAGTTTATTAGCTTAAAATAGTTATTTGGAGAACAATATACTTTACATTATTAAATATACTATAAATTATTTACTGATACTTGATATATAGAATTAAGTACGAAAATATATTTGAGGACAAATTTATATATAATCCTTACATCTGACCTATTCTTACATAATAATTTTGAATTTGTACGGTGATTTCAAATTATATTTCTATTATTCAAATTTTTTCTCTATAAATTGTTACAATATTTATGATATATTATTTACAAGCTTTGGTAAAATATGATTATTCAATTAATATTACTTATTCTTAATTCACATTTTAGGCACATTATATTTGGCTTATTGGCATAAACTTACATTTAATATTCTTATGTACATATTGTGAACACATAGATAGCACGGGTAATGCAATACATATTTGGCATATATAAGTATCACTTATTTGATTTATAATAAATTATATACTTTACAACTTATTTCTATTAAATTCGCAATTGAAAGTTAATTCAATTTAATTCTTACATTTATCGTAGTTTCAAAAAATTACTTACAACGGACAAATTTGAATAGCCTCAAAAAACTTTAAGATTTTCAGTAATAATTTAATATAAGTATAAAACCACATGTTATTTATTTCATCTTTTTCTCGTTATCTCGGAGCATAGTCGTGTACATATCCACCAAGAGTTGCCCTGGTGACCTGACCATAAAATCCCTGATGGTAAGGCGAGGCAGCAGTCGGTTGTTGGGTCATACTATAAGGTCTGCTCGCAGGATAAACACCAGGAGGTTGCATCGACCCTGGACTCGTCCTTGAATATTTGTCATAAGGACTTGTAGAATATGGACTTGTGAGATGATGATGGGATGAATGAATCGGTCCATAGCTGCAAAGATCTCCTGCATATGGACTTCCAAGAGCAGAAGGAGTTTGATGTTGCGGACTGGTAAAAGATGTAAGTGAAGATGTCTGGGGGTGCTGTTGTTGATATTTGAGGTCGATTGATGTCACTGGTGATAATTGTTGCAGTGTAGGAGGAGTCGAGGCTGAATCTATGGGTGTGTGATGTGGACTGCTATCATCTGAAAGAAATATTAAATTAAAAAACAGATGTCACAACTAAAGTCATACTTTTAAATTTACTAGATATTTGATTAAATGAAAAATATTTATTAAGAATTGTTGTAACCCTGTATTGATCTCAACGATTGTACAGCATTTATGTATTGATGCTGAATATTGATTTGTTTATCGATTTTCATTATCCATGGTATTTTCGACAATAAATTCATAGAAAAATATTTTAAAAGTGATTAACAGCTAGGTCTTGATTGCGTTTATCCATTAGTTTGTATAGTCGAGGAATTAAAACAAACGTATCCAAGTAGGAGACGGTCCAGCTGTTCAGTTTTAGGCGATTCATCAACGTCCAAATCAGAATCAACACCCGTTTATACAAAAAACACACACTGTTCAAAGAATCGACGATAAGTGGTAAATTCACGAAGTTCGGCTCAATCTTCTTTAAAATATATTTATTTAACGAGAGAATACAAAAAATCTGCTCGTCCATTTGTTTATATGTATTTATCTTTAGACAAAATAGGCTTTCACTTTGAGAGAGTTTGTATTAAAAGCGATCCCGCTTGAATGGCAGAATACACAAACATCTAGGGCAGAAAAAATATTTGTAAGAACACTTTGAAAGTATATTTATAACGAACAGATTCTTAATTGAAGTGAGAAATGTTACAGGAATGCGATTACTATAAACCAACAATAAAGTAGATATATACATACTATTATGTTATTTTATATAAATTAAAAAAACTCAACGAGAAGTTTATCACGAAAAAAAATCTTATTTGCTAATTTTATGTTTGTTCGGCGTTTCAAGTCATTCTGAATAGAATGAGACCAAATTTGAAAAAAGTATGTGTGTGTAAGTCAATGTGATATTTCTTCGACGTTTTCTCAAAAACGACCGGACCGATTTCAAATATTTAAAAACTATTCGATACACAAAATAAACATTTTGCCTTAGCTGAATCTCAATTCTTAAGGATTTGATTGGTTCTGGATATGTACTATGTATAGTATCAAAATTTGTCTTTGTTTAACCAAACTTATATTCGTACTGAACCTTAATTAAATATAATTCCCTAATTAGTACCCAAAGCATTTCCAAGCCAATCGCATTTCAAAAACGTCCGGGGTAAATAAAATAAAAAGATTCTACTGAACTCAGACATTAAGCGGCCGTAATATTAAACCCGATGCGTCTTCAAAGGAGAGATCACTCGCCACCTGACATTTTTACGATGGTTCTGGCCGTCGCATAAACTGTAAATATTTATACGCCGAGCTAAGGTATTGGCTTCAGACGGTCTTCTACCTATAATTTATACCAATCAGAAGGCAACCTCGCCGGGAACAGGTAAACAAGATGGCCTGCGCACGTGGCTCGAACATGGAAGAAATTTTAGGCGTTTCTTAAATGAACTTTAGTATGGAATCAATGAATTGGAATTAAAACGTTAAGGGGTCTAATTTTTTAAGAGGACTTACTATTTGACGATCAAGTGGACGTAAACTCATCATTTGTGTAGAGTTACCTTAGAATATATTCAAATTTGCCGAAAAAAAAATTACTATCACATTGTAAAGGTGTACTTAGCATTTCGCCCTAAGGCAAGTTACAAAAACTTTCTGATATGACTAAAAACTCGACGGATAGAGAAATATCAACTTTTGAATTTGTGCCGATAAAAGTTTGAAATTTTGTTCGTAGATCTTTAATATTTTATTAAGTTTGTTAAAGATGATAAAAATGCTCAATTGACAAACATTTCAATAGATAATTACGGCTTACCTTTGTTCTGAGTATTTTTGGACCGTTGCCTCTGCGTTGGCGCTTGTTGACCAAGTTGAAGCTGCGTCATAACTTCCGAGCTACTAAAAAAAAACAAATTTGTCAACAATTAATTTTTCAAATTTAATTATTAGTATATTATAAATTAATAATTAACCCTTTTCACTAGCGGCATCTGAGTTGAAAGGGTTAATATGTATTCAAATACAAAATTGATAGCCAAAGAATTTATTTAATGATAAATATCATTATCCACAATTTATTAACTGCCCGTAGGATAAGTTATTGTAATGGGCCAAAAATCGGAATTGAAAATTTTTACATTTCTCGACGTTTTGAAGGTTTCTGAACATTTTGGCATACTTCAGAAAAAATGGATGTGTGTGTGTGTATGTATGTATGGGTACAAATTTTCGACCACGTTTCCGGGCGTACGGATCAACCGATTTGAATGGTTTAAAAAACATTCGATTCCTATTGATAAAGACTTTCTGCTTGTCTTAACAAAATAATTGATTTTGGAAAAAAAAATGTTGTTTCATTTTTTTTTTTTTTAATTTTTTGTATATCGAAAATAATAATTCAGATTTTATTTTTAATTCTGACTATAGTTCTAATATACTTTAAACAAATAATTTCAACTCAGCAATTCAGTTTATATAATTCTTATAAATATTAGACCAAGGATGAGCAACCCGCGGCCCGCCGGACGTTTTTCTGCGGCCCGCCGAGCATTTCTCAACTACAGATTATTTTGCTAGATATTTTCTCAAATACGGCTGTAACGGCTAATTTTGTTGCCTGTCAAATACTGGTAAGAACTGTTGTTGACAGAAATAGCATTTCCTGATAAAATAAATATTAATTTAAATATTAGTTAAACAATATTGCAAGAATAATTGAAAGCTTGTCGCGAGGTTTAAATCATCGTAAATTCAAAGACTTCTTAACAATTTAGAGCGTTTTAATACCAAAGTACGTTAGCTCAATATAGTGATGCTATGCTTAAAGGAGTATACAACCCATATGAAGAATAATAAAGAATAATATCTTTTGCAGTATCCTGTGTTTCACATTTAATTTTCAGAAAAAGAAAATGAGAACAAATTTTAATTGTGATTCTAAATGTTCAAAGCTAACAAAACAGCTGGTTTCATGTGAATGTTTTCTTCGCCATTTACCATGCAAAATAATGCAGATTTAGAAAATGTATTTTTTCAGTAAACATCGCAATTTTTTATAAATCTCATGTCAGCCTTGAGAAATTTTCGCTTTAAAAAAAAAACAATCCAATTATGATAATTTTTTTTGAAGTACGAATGTGTGCGAATAATTACACAGGTCCACAAAAGAAAAGTCGCGGGATAATAATTCATTCATTCAGTAAAAATGCTAGATCGAAGATTGTGCCAGTTTTTAAATGTTTTTTTATTTTTTGTGTTCCAGTTCTGACTATAGATTTATATTCAGCGGTAAAAGTAAATTAAAAATACATCGAAAAATATATGTGACACACTCAATCCAGACAACTTTTTTAGTGGACCTGTGTTAATTTCAACCATGAAATTCATAAAAAATTACCACCTATCGAAACTGAGTAAAACATATCAAAGCTGCATACGTGTTGCTATTTTCCGTATTAAAAAAAAATAACAAAATTTGAAAAAAAAGGCTGATATTTATCAGCTTTTATATAAAAAGCAGTGTCAAATTTCTTATTAAAGCTTTCAAGTAAATTAGTTTTTCTGTTTAACTATTATTTGTTTTTATTTTGTATTTATATTTATAAACACTTAGAGTATACACTCGTAATTATATAAAATATATACTTTTTTCAATTATGTATATTTGTTCTTTTCTCGTGCCAATTTTGTAATTTTGCAATTACATTATTTCCGCGCTCAGTCATAAATCTTTTGACTTAATTTTAGTTCACACTTTTGAGTTTATGAAAAAGCTTCAGTTTTATTTAAAAAGAAAAGGCAATTTATTTTTATCATGGATTGTACGAACGTAACATTTTTTAAAAAAATTTTTCTTTATTTTAATTTTTTTAATGCGGAATAGAAAACTACATACGACTCCAAATTTTCATTATTTTATAATAGCCATTTAAGTGCCCCAATCATTTTTTATTTAGCTCGGTAATCGATCAATTAACTATTATCGCCTTTTTTGTGAACGTTTTTAATTGAAATTTTGAATATCTTGCAGAAGAAGCAATTCTAGCAAAAAAATAGAAATTCAATATTAAAATCTAAAGATGAAACTGTTTTTGGGAGAAAACTGAAATTTTATTATTTGAAGTTAGTAATTTTAATATTAGAGTTATTGAAATCTCACTCGTTTCGCTAAGCATAGCATAACCTATTTCAAATATGTATGTTAGTATTTTAGCGTTATAGTGGGTAAATTATCAATGTATCTTGTGTTAGCTACCTCTTTCATTTATATACCACATATTTATACATTCAGAATTAGTTAGTCATTTCAAATACTAATGATTTTCTGAAAATATTTCCTGTGACTAAACGTTCGCCGGGTCAGCTAGTATATATATATAAATCACGTGCGGCCCGCCATAAAATTTTGAAAACCAAATTGGCCCGTGGTTTAAAAAGGTTGCTCGCCCTTGTATTAGACAATGTTACAATAATCATAATAATCTATTTGAAAACATTCAATATTCCTCGAACATTTCGTTACGGTACGGGAAGTTCCAGCAATTTGCCTTAAGGCACGATGCCACCCACCCCACTAGTTTATTCAATGTTAATCTTCCTTATTGATTATTTATTGTTGAGTCTTGATAATAAATTTTTGCAATTCGGTATTTGAAACAATTTTAAATCATCAGAACCCACAATTGTGGGTAGCAATAGAGGTGCAATATAATATATCGAGCATTATACAAGATATATCAATTATATCATTATAAAGTGTTCGGTTTAATATTTATTTTCACAGAATTTTATATTTATTTTTGTATTCATTTGGGATAGTAGAGATTGACTGATTGCGCTAATATTTATGATTCTTTCTGATTTGATATGATCTTTCACTACGTGCTGCAACAATAGCAACCTCCTATCTCTATATTTACATTTATGATATAATATTTAGTATCAACTCATTTATCTAAAGTGATGATAGTAGTTTAGATAAAAACCTAAATCATTTTTAATCGAAAGTATTCCAGAAAACACTCAATGGCACTTTGCGCGATCTCCATAGGTAAATATAAACAGATGACGATAATCATTCCCAAATGTTTGCATTCGTATATAAAAGTAACGGATTTATTGCGATGGCGCATTCGAGTTGATGTGTTCGTGGCCGAGTGAGATATTTTTATGAAATCGTTGTACGAATACGAGTAGAGCGATGTTTTTAACTAATTTATGAGTTAATAAGTTTATTTAATGCGCTTCTCGACACGTGAGGAGTTCTCGCGAGATTCACTAGAAGACGATGGACGGGAGGGACAACCCAGAAAAATAAGAATATTGAATATTTTATATTAGTGACTCATATTGAATATATAGAATCAATTTTGTGGCTCTCGACGTAGAGTACAGTCCCAGTAAACCACAAACGTCACATAAAGTTAAAGTAACGTAGCACAGAAGAAACGTTGTTATGTATTTTATGGTTACGTTAATAAAACGTAAATGTTACGTTTAATTGTAACCTTTAAACGTTAATGCATGGTTTTCTTCATAACGTAACCGTTCAGTTACAGTGTTTTGTAAGTTTAACATACAAAATGGACGGTGTGGTACAGCTGTTTCACAAAACTGTCAAAAAGATAGGTTACGTGTTCTACTCTTTTATGTATGCGAGACTCTATGCACGAAAATACAATTGAAAGTTATTCGTGACTCTATATATTTTACTTTTCTGTCTATGACTAATGACTAATGGACGCTTCATATTGAAGATCTTTTGACAAGCAAATTATTTCATTCTTTTGAAGCATTTATTTAATCATTATTTATATGATTAATGTTTTATATGATTAATGTAGAACGTATTAGTTATGCAGTGTGCAGTTAAAATGTTTAAAATGGAGTCGATCAAGGTAAGTATAAATATAAAACATGTGTAAATTATTTTAATTTATATATTATTATAATAATGATTTTTTTTTTTCAGTATATAGTTGGACCTTAATGGAAATTCTATTCGCGTATTTTGTTATTTGTAGATGTTTTCATCAAATGTATGTTTATCAAATAATAATTAAATTCTATTATACAAATCATAACCTCAATGATTATTGCAGTGTTGAGTCAAAAGGTTAGTAAAAATGAGATATACAGATACAAATTTAATATTTGTAGCCCCTTCAGTAACAATAATATAGTTCGGCTAAACAGGAGCAAAAACTAATACAATGGTTTTCAATTGAAGAAATATAATGACTCAGAACATAATAAAGATATGAATAAAGAGCTCAAATAAAGAATATGAATGCAAAGTTAGAATATAAAATAATAATCTACCATCATCACGAAAAAATGATTTGAAGAAGAATAAAATTTTTTACAGCATTAAATGATGACACTCGTGTCATGTGTCATGGAATTGGTATACCTCATTATGATAGAGATGATTAGATGATTTAGTATTAATTTCTTATGATTTAGTTTTAGCAAAAATATGATTTAAAAGTCGGTGGATGAAATTTGGCTGAACTGACAAGAAACAATTAAGACAATATTTGAGCAATACGTTCATAAAGGAATTAGCTGCACTTTGTTCTTAATAAATAATGAAAGTAAGTAGAGGTAATTAGAAGTATTGTTACAATTTATAATAATAATCACAATATTTCCAAATCATAACCTTCTATTGTTTTTACTTCAGCAAAAATATATTTAAAAATTCAGAGACTAAAATCTTCTTTATTGTCTAAAGTGTAATTCGATGAAGAATTAATATGTTTTTGGTATTGTTGAAAGGACTGCCTAGCTGTCAATAACTTGAAAATAATGAATATTTTTAGAGGTAATGTTACAAAAAATTTAAATCAATATTATCAATAAACAATTTGTAGAAATTGTTTCTAACCTGTTTGGTTCTGTTTTAGATACATTTACAAACAGAAAGCAGTGAAATGGTTTCAATTTGATAAACAAAGGTTGCCAAGAATTTTACACAAGACTTATTTTCAATGGTTAAAATTTTATAATCAAAATAAAACATTTAATTCCATCCTGTTAAATAGAAATTTGTTAGAATTGTTATTTTTTGTTTTAGATTAATCAAATTTTTAAAATCCAAATTTATATTCTGTAGTTTTGTAATTTTAAGTATATGTTATGTAAATTTTGTAAATTCTTAATTATAATATGAAATAAAATTAATATAAAAAATGGTTTCTATATTTACAGGAAATTTTATTAAATTTTTAAGTTACATCAAAGACACCTACACGTTAATTTAGTAATTTAGAAACCTAACAAAAACGAAACCGTTACGTTTTCGCGCAATTTGGAAACGTTACAAAAACGAAACCGTTATGTTTTCGCGTAACTAAACAGGCCGTTACGTTTTTGAGGCGGAAATAGATACGTCTGTGTGCCTCTTAGGTTACGTAACCGTTATGTTTTACGTATAATCTGTTACGTTCTATTAACGTTTTCATTACGTTTTGTGGTTTACTGGGGTGTTTTACTGTTTTTGGCCTAATTTCTGGCTTGCCCAAAAAATCGACTTCTATCTTGTGCCTACCCAAAATTGATCAATTACATTTTTGCTTCTATATCAGCGATATTATCTATACATATTTTATTTAATATTCTGTAAAGTGGAACTAAAACTGAAGTTTATATATTTTTCCCCAATTTTTCTCTCGGTTGTCAACCACTGGTTTAGTGTCTATCCGACGGCAAAGAAAGATTGAAGATTGAAGACCGCGGAATGATGTGTGAGGCAATTTAACGCTCGAACTTCGTCGAAATTTATGTGACGGACGCGTTACGTATTATTTCGTACTTATGGCGCCTTTTTGTGATTGATATGGGTTTTAATTTAATTCAAGATAGTATATTGTACGGGAACAAAATTATTAGAAATATATTTTTACCTATAAAATGCGTCGAGCTAAATTATTGCTGGATTTTTGTAATTGAAAGTTATTTTGGCTACTGTCGAACTGGAACTTTGATGGAACTTTGCATGGTGATAGAGTTGATAGACTGAATGAATCCCTTGTCAAGCCTTGGAGAATTGGTTTAATTTTAAAAATTACTTATTAACCTTATCACCATCCAAAGTTTCATCAAAATGCCAGAAGAGTAAATATGAGGTTCTACTCGTTAGTGCTCATTTGGGTAAATTAAATTAGTTTATTTGTGGTAGCACAGACTAGTGAAAAATCATAAAATGCTATTTTTATATACATTTGTTATTAAAAATACTTTTAATGAATATTGGACTAATAATAAATGTGAACTTACCACTCATCTGAATCGCAATCTCGAAAACCTTTCGCAAATGGGTTGCTTGCTATTTTTAATTGAGTTATCTAAAATACAAAAAAATAAAACTTTAATAACCAATAACGTAATTTATTATAATTGCATCTATTTAAGCAGAATGCGATTGTACCAAATATTAATTGATATATCAGAAATGATTGGATCTATGAACATGCAAAATTTAAATAAAATATCTTACCCTATGATTTTGGTATGCTGTAACTGCAGTGAAACATGTTTCTGGAAATACGAATGTTTTATAGTTTTCTGTGGTTTTTGGTTCGTTGGAGACACCAGATCTGTTCGATCGTGGAGGCATGTATAACACGTGAAATCTTGGTTGATATCGATGCATTGAATTCAGAATTATCTGAAAATTAAATAACCAATTGTAATTAAAATTCATTATTATTATTTTCTATTCAAACAGAAATAGAACGTTTAAAATTTGATACACGTACATGTCCATTATCATCCAGTTGATTGTTGGTCAATTTTAATTTATCGAAGGAAACAACTTGCTTCATCCATTGAGCTCCTGGTGCTGGTGAATCTGGATGCAAATGTATTCTGGGAGGTGATATTGGATCCGCCTTACCTGCCACCATCCAACTCGAACTAATTTTAAAATATATAACGCATTAAGAACTATTTAATATATCAATTATTTTAACAGTTTGTTTTACCTATGGAAGGCGTAGCGATAGCGTTTATCATCTACAGGAACAAAATCCATCATTAACATATAGTCGACTTGAGGATCCATACCGTATAATCGACATTGGAATGTTGGAAACATTCTACGTCCTGCTTTGGTAACAATCATTTCTGTTCCCAATTCGTTAAATTCATCCCACAAAGCTTTCATTTCTAAAACAGCGCCAACATTTTGGAGTTTTTCATGAACCGGCAAGGGTTGCTAAAAAAGTATAAAACATAGGTAATTGGAAGAAACTATGTATTTTGATTAGACGATTTATAAGTTTGCTACCTTGTTTTTGGCTTTGGATATATTATTATTTTCTGAAGTGACATCGGTGTTGGTATTTTTTTCGTGATTTTCCGAAAGTGGTGAGTCTGTGATTCTCATTGATGCGGAATCGGCGTGTTCAAGAGGGCTGTAGGAGACACGGTCTCGGCCTGCACTTTGTAAACATGCTGAAAATAAAATAAAAAACTCAAATGATGAACACTATCTCTATAAACAAATAAAGCTCCTAGAACAAGTTGCTTTAATCGCTTTTTCTGACTTATTCATTTCATGTTTATACTAAAAATAATAATATTATGAATGTACGACAGTGTCCCATAATTTTTTTATGCCGACCTTCATAAATCATCGAACCGCCTGGACTCCTCGTCGAATGCGTTTTCAGTGTTTTAGTTGTGAGATGTCAGAAAAGCGCAGAGAGAATTATTGCCTCTGATATTTTTTTGGGTCGCGACCGTGCATTTGTTTTACTAATATACAATTAGTCAAGAGTTTCAGGCGCCGAGACCGTAAAAAGGCACGAATTGAGAAAACTACAGAAATTAAAACATACCGATGTCTATTCTAATTTGTAGGCTCTGGGTAAAAGAGCCATATAACTCAATCTTGGGGAGAACATCGTTAGTCACATATATAATAATATAATTATATTAACAACTTTATACACATAATAGTTAAGAAAGGTATTCGGAAAAATTTGAAAATAATCTCATCAAATATATCTTTTATCTCAATAATTCTCAATAACAGGCTGCATCTATCAAAAGGAATAAAATTATTTTTGAAATAGATGTAATACTAATGCTAATACAGGCTTGAATACATTAATAATAAATCCAATTTTAAAAACAAAGCTTTGTGTAACTAAATATTGGTGATCAAATTAATAAATTAAAACAATTATTTTTATACTACATATATGGAATGCAGTGAAATTAATTAGGAAATCAGTATGATACAATGTTGGAATTTTTAGTTACAAAATCTTAGCTTTTATAGTTTTTAATTTATTAGTGTATATATTATTAGTATAATTAATTTTATAGTTTTTATTTATTAGTGAGATACAGAAAAACCATGATTTTATCATCATTGCTATCTCTTGTTCTTATGGTAAAAGCATTTTCTCCCTTAAAATAGCAGTTAAAACCCAATGAAATTTTAACTTAAGTAACGTGTAACTATCGTTACATTAAAATAGAGCAAAAGAGTTAGAATAGAAGAAAAATTAATATTTTAGAATTCTCCTTGGAGGAGGGTATTATGGTAAAAGTATACCATAAATTATTGAATACAATTCAATTTATTATTACAAAGCGTTGTATTATTATTTCAATTTATTATCAGATAGCGTGGATTTTATTAGGAATAGATCAGAATGATGGCTTGTGTATTATTTTAAGTTGTGATTACAGAACTTGCTTCTCACGAAATGTTGACCATAGAATTTAAACTAATAAACATATCACTCTCGATGGGAATTAGAAAACAAATCATTCATGACGCTAATGTGACATAACTATTAGTTCATATAATAAGCAAAGATTATCGATATATCAATATAATATTAAATTGGACTTATGCTATCATAATCTAATTAAATACTTGTAATTTATGTTTTTTGTCATCGACAAAAGCGCGTGTTCTATGAGCAGTTTTTTTAGCACCTTAACTTCTTATTTTTCTCGAGAAAGCAACCCAGCGGTCAACCATTCTTTTTGTTTATGTGTAGACTACATATATATGATATAGAAAATACTTTAAAACGTTACCAAATTTTTTTTTTATTAAACACATTTATAGCCGAATTCCTTTTTAATATTTAACGAATATGCAGTTATAATTTTTTGTCAAAAATGTCAAGAGCCAATAAATTTTCAAGATTTCTAACATTTTGATGTTAGAAAATACAATATATTAAGTACTTATATTGTATTTTTGTTATGAATATTTAGTTAATGTTGCGAACCAGTTGATCATTTGTTACTACAATTTTTCATATAATGTAAAATACTGTTTTGTTTCATAATCTTATAAATTGTATTCAAAATTCTGTAAAAATAATTATAATTACAAGCAAATTAGATTCAATTATAACTACCTGAGTTTGCGCAATTTCGAGCAAAATAGTCGAATTTCTAAATTTCTAAATAGTCCATTGTAATTGAATATTTGAATTGTTTGTCCTATAAAATATTAATACGATTACAACTCTATATGAGCGAATATGTATTTTTTGTCATAATTACTTTTTACTAATGCATCAATTTTATCAAAAACATTACTTGCTCCTTCAATTATTTTTGGCAATATTTTATTATTATTATTATATTTATTATTTACTGGGTCGGAATGGAAAGGGTTAATATTTCTTAGACTTTATACGTAGGAATAATTTTTTTATGAAATATAATATGAATGCATACGTTTGTAAATTTAAGAATTTATCCCTTATTTACTACGATTTTATAACTATATTTTATATCAAACCTTCAATTTGCTTCATAGGAGTTGTACCAGCGCAGTATGGTGTCAACCATGGTTCCGCATAACAGCAATCTTGCCCATTCAGCAAGCCCTGGTTATTTCCTCCAGGATTTGTTTCGAGTGATCCAATTTCCCTCAAAGTATGCATATCGTAATCCGAACTGTGCATATTTTTACTACCAACAAAAATCTTCTATTCACAACCGCATGTTCACAATAAACTTGGAATCAAACCACAAAACATGATAATAAATCTCAAACTGTCCACTGGTCGTAAAATTTTGTAACTCTAATATATCAATGATAACTGATAGTGGATTTATTCACCTTGTAACTCTAATGTCACTAATTGGACTGAATGGATGTAAATTCGTCAACAGGACAACCTGAGCTGTCAACGCGGACGACTGATTTCGATGATCGTCAAAAACTCCTTGGTCAAATGAAAGATATAAGGAGATATGCATTCGAGGCAAGATCCCCACCTAATGAGAATTCTTGTTGAGATGATCTCTTCTTGTGGACACATGTGCTGATTCATTTAGATTTTAGATAGTCTGGGCTGAGTTCTTGTTTGAAGGATGGACTAATTTTGACGCTCGCCACGCCTGCATAGTCTTATTGGTTGGAGTTGAGATTTGGGTTCGATGAGCCGAACTTTTCCTCCAAGTCTTGGGAAGTAACTTTTCTGGTAATAAAAATTTCCGACGGTTAAATATCTTCGCACCAATGTAGTAACTTAATTGTCTAGGTATTTATCAACTTTCGTTATTATATTTTTACAATTCTTAGCGGGGGCGTAGCGTGCATTGACGGGGCCCCGTATCAAAACTTTTTTGGGGGTCCCTTCAGGTAGAGCAAAATTTTCTCACATAAAAATAATGAATAAATAAATTAATAAATCTTCACTTATCATCAATATTCATCTAGCCCTTTCCAATATTTCTACATACAATTTAAATTCAGCATACACATTTATTAAATCATTTATAGCTTATTATTCTATTTTATTCTAATTTTGATGAAACGAATTTCCAAGATCATAGCCATCATTTTTTTCAAGATATCTTTGAAAATTTCATCATTTGCAGTTGCAACTGGGTAAATAGTACGCAAAAATTACTTTGAGAAAATTGTGTGCAAAACTATTGAATTTTGCCAGCAATAGAAATTGAGTTTCATATTTTAAACATATTTTTAGAGAGTTTAAAATTACAATTACAATAAAAATTAAAAGAGACTATCTTACAGTACTGTAGTGGTTTGCGAAATGACTCTAGTTGTAATTTTTCGAACATAATAATCGAGTCAAAGTCTCTGAAATCTATGTTTAGTATGAGAAATTAATAATTAGCAAAATGTTGAGTTTGAAATAAGATTACGGGTCGCTATATTTTGCATATAGTTTTCGTTACGTTCCATTCCTTTGTTAATTTTTCGAGACATTTAGCAAATTGCTAAATTAATTTTGTTTTTTTATTTTGCACAATCTATTCAAGAAATGATTTAATAAAATGCCAGTTTTCTTTTCTATTATATTTTTCTATTAAATTATATTTTTATATTCTACATGCTCATGTTTTTCTTCAAATTAAATTTAGTTGAAAGTAAGTTTTCATAATTATTTTAACTTTAGCTATTTGTGAAATTAAATAAAAATTTGTAAGTTTCTACTAAATTTTGCGCATGTTTGGGCCCCCCATGGCCCGGTAAAAATAAATATCTTTAAAATAATAAATTTACATTCCTCGCGTTCTTTCTTAATGGCATTAAATTTCATTGAACAAGATTTTCACGATTAATTCGCTTTTTGTGAAGTTTTTTTTTATTATTAATATTTGCTTACGGACGTTGGGGGCCCCCCTGGCACGGGGGCGCCGTATTTTTGATATGGCTGATACGGCGGTAGTTACGCACCTGATTCTTAGTTTATTTTGAGTTTTAACTAATTTAGTAAAGGGCATCTAAATTATACTAGGTGTATCTGTCGCTCATAATATTTAAATATTTTTTGATAACAATAATTATTATTATTATAAACAAGATAATTGTTTCAAAATTGACGTAAAAAATGCAGTATTTAAATAAGACCTAATGTAAATGTAATGTAATGTAATGTAATAAACGCATGTAAAAGCAATCTTACCTTAGAAATGGTCACCATTTTTTAAATTGGTGCACCCGTTTTTTGAGAAAGGTTAAATTTTGGCTCATATTTACAAGTTTGGTGTCAAACGAAACAGAATAACTTGAAACATATAGAAAGCATAAAATAAGCAAATTGAAAATCTATTTTCTAGCGAAAACATAATAAACTTTACCTTCGAAAAATTATAATTCATCTACTAACAATTTTGAATTTTTTAATTAACTAACATGGATTAACCAAAATTAAGAGAAAAGTTCGAAGTTATACAAGTAATTAGTCTTCACATAGGAATAATCATCAAACATCTCCAACGACTGTCATTTCCTATACGTTCTTGCATAAACAATATATAACATTTATATATCTCGTCTGATTGAAAACATTTCGGTCGATTATAATCACAAACCAAGAGCCTAACATACACAATACATCGCAGAAAAAATTCTCATGATATCAGTCATCGAGCAAATGCAAGATTAGGCGATTGGTTATCATCATAGCACGAGCTGGAACGATTGAAATCCTCGAGTTTACAAGAGGCCTTTCAGCGCCTCTCAGCACAACGACTGAAATTGTCCGAGATTGTTTGTTTTCGTCAATTCGCGAGATGTTCAGCTAATCAACATCAAAACTTCTACGATTGAGATTGAGGATACATCCTGGATCAATGAGTCAACGTTGATTTGATCTATTGTCTGCAGGTTCTATTGTTGATGACTGATGGACACGATTTGCTGGGAGAGGATCAAAAGGATGTTGGAGGATATGCGACAGATCGACCTCATCGACCAGATATTCTTAATCGAACAGAATCTATTGCTGCTTTAATTAAGGACCAAATTCAATAACGATTTATCTATCTGAACTTCATTTCTAGTAATATGTATTATGAATTATCATTAACTTTTGAAGAGAGAGATTCATATTTAAGTAATTATGAATTATTATAGACCAAATCAGTCTGATAATTAATTTTAAGATCGTTTAGAAGTTCAATTTTGTGTCCGTGCAAATGACCTCATATATTTGTCGTCGCTGAAGACACTACGAGCGTGGAATACCTGGGCCAAGAATATTCTATATGCTATGCGATAAAACAGTGTTTTTAAAAATGTTATCAGCACTCACTATTTTTATATTGGAAACATTATTCATATTTTTACAATGGGCCAAATAATCCAGAAATATTCATATAATAAAAAATATAAAATTTAATGTCATGTCTTCTAATTGTAAGTTCATTTGATGAACCTTGCAAAACTTTGACTTTAATAACATGAACAGCTATTAAATTTCAGATTTTAATAATGTTAAATATAATTACTATTTCCCATGTTAAGATAAACCTATATCCCGGATTAGGATATCTTTCCTTTAGACTTTCCCAAGTAAAAAGCTGGGTACATTACAGGAAGGACGTGTCTTTCGCACCTCAGACAGCAAAGTTACATTACGTAGACTCCGCTGCAATCTGTTTACAAAAAGAAATTAATATCTGTTCGTACGATCGATTGAAAGATTTATAGTAAGTGTTCATAGATCAAAAGTTCATAAATATTCACTATTTTTAGCTTAATTCAATTAGAACGCGGTTTTAAAGTTTATAAATATTTTTGAAATAATAAAACAAAGGTGATTTATGAAGACTTATGGAATGCAGTTGAATTTTATTAATAACAGTTTCAAAAACAATGTGATAACAAAAACCATCTAAGATGATAGCATTTTTAGATACGAGGTCTGTTCAAAAAGTTTTCGTAATTTTCGTTTTTTCAAAAAAATATTTATTTATTCGTCTACATTAATGTGGTCCCCTTCAAAGTAGTCCCCCCCAGATATAATACACTTATGCCAGCGTTTTTTCCAATTTTCGAAGCACCCTTGATATTCACTTTTTGATATGTCCTTGAGCACTCTCAGCGATTCGGCCTTTATTTCTTCAATCGAGGAAAACCGCCGTCCTTTCATGGGTCTCTTCAACTTTGGGAATAGGAAAAAGTCACACGGAGCCATATCTGGTGAATTTTTGCACTTTGCAACACTTTATTTCATTTTTTACGCAAAATTAATACAAATTCTTTGACTTTTTCAATTCTTCTATTGTAAAAATCGCCGAGCTCAGAAAAACACGTCGAACCTTAGCGACTACCACAGACAAAGTAAACAGTGAATATAGCTGAAAATTTCATCATACTTTAGGGGCATGTATACCAACACAATAAAAAAAAAATTTGACAATCAGACACTCCAGACCCGCGAAATTAATTATTAGTAATTCCGGGTACTTTTGAACAGACCATGTACATTCAAAATTTTGTTAGATTCGCGACCAATTTAACTAAATTATTTATTTCATTAAGATAAAGAAAGTTATAATAAAAAAAAAAACAATCATGGTATCAATATTTTGTCACCTAATTTTGCTTGTCATCGCTATTGCCGGCTGCTAAAATTCTAGCCCAAGATCACGGCCAGATGGAAGATGAGTTTGTATTGCACACTAACGCTATTATAATACATCTGAACATATTTTTATTTATTAGTCCAAAAAAATATGAAAAATAACTGGATAAAAAATATTTATTATTAATCCATAGTTTCCCAACACGGGTGTAAATGGAATAAAATGTTGAAGCTTTTGGTTTTGGTCGATGCACCAACGACTGCACTGATCTCAAAAATTTTAAAGCCATTTGATAAAACTTGATAAGGACTTTTATTGATCTGTTTTGCATATGATTTCTTATAATGCAAAGTTATACATCAATGTTTTAGCCAAACCAATTTTAAAAAGAGAACATTTCGCCTAAATACTTTAAGGGGGTATTCTAGTGTAGAGTGATGAATTTTAGGTCATTTTTAAAGTGTCGTAAAATTAAGCAATGAATGTTTTTACAATCGATTTTTTTTACCACTTGTTTATTTATATTATTAAAATACAAAACAAAAATTAAAAAATAAAAAAGTTGAAAATTGTAAAAACTGGCAGCTGATGAAGTGGGTGGTCTCAAAAAATTGGCACCTCAGTCTTGACATGATTTCAGCCCTCCTAGCCATCGGAAATGAAAAAAAAAATAAAAAGATTATTAATCTACAAAGATGTCGCAATCGCCCGAACTAGCGATGAGTAAAAAAAAACTTTTTACAAATGGCAACTGTTTGAAAAAAGGGGTTTTTTTTACTGTTTTTGAGTTTCTCGAATTTTTAAAAATAGTAAAAATTGGAATTTGGGGATAATCCTAGTTCGGGCTATAGATAGGTCTATAGACAAGACTCTCTAAACATTTCAAGTGAATCGGTCGATTAAAACTCGAGAAATCGTGTCAACAGTACCGAAAAAGTCTGTTCTGAGAAAAACTCATATAAAGTTTTGCGTGAAGACAAACCAGTATGGAGACCGAGTCAGTAAAATGCCTATATCTCCGAAAATAATTCAAATTTTCCAGAACCTTCTCGTACCCATATTCTTAGATAGTTAAACTTTCAAAATATGAAATAAAAAATCGATTTTTTTGAATTTCTACACTAGAATACCCCCTTAATCTTATTTCCTGTTGATTAAAAGGATTGTATCGGGAAGTTTATTCAACTGGCCTTAAAGAAAAATGCCACTTGCACCTAGTTTAAGCTCATGAACTTTGTTCTGGACACAGTATAAAAATATATCGTACATCGTATCATAGAAATAGTACCAGTAGTACCGTATCGTACGTCTGGTAGCAATTTATTCTGATGCAGTAACATCGGCTCAGTCGACGACAGATCGACACCCTGCAGGAAGCTTCCACCGTTAAGCATGTCATCGCCGACACTAAACTGACTCCACTTTTCTGATACAGAACTCCTTTGTTTATTTTCGTTTTTATTTATATTTTATATTTATACACATGGCGGTATAAACAATCGATTTTATGAATTGTTTCATGCTGTATGTAAAACACTTGTAATTTTACATGTGGTGCTCGTAGACCGCACAAGACCGTTGCCATAAGTGGATTTTTTCAATCACAGGATCCGATAGGACTTAAAAGGACATCCATTGATACCGGTTTATTTGCTTATTAAATATAAAAACTATAATATGTTTTTGATAGAACGTGTTATATCGTGATTTTTTTTACTCATTTAAGCCATTCTGAGTAAAATACTTGATATAATTTGGCGATGCACTAAGATTTGTTCTGTTGTGCAGGCAACACCTATTTACCTTTATTATACCGATTTAGTTTCTTTAAAAAAAATAACTAGGTTCTTACTTCCACCTCTGTATATAATACTTTGTTACCAACTATTTACTATTATTAATTCTTTTTACATCTCAAATCTCTCTAGATAAAGTCCTTAGAGCTCATATTTCTAATTCGTTTTACGTGCCATTTTTTGCCTGAAATAAATGCCAAGAAAAAATATTAAAAGACGTATTATTTTCTGTGTAGTTTGAGCCTTGAACTGATAAAAATTTGGACATTGCTCGCGAAATTTAGACTTGATAATGGAGAATTTTATATGTTCAGCTCTATTTAATTAAGGTTTGTGCAAAATGATAGGGGATGTCTATAATAAAAGCTAAGCTAATCATCGAGGGCAATATACTTTTTGCTTGACCTAAAATAATTATCTTGTGGTGTATTATTCTCTATTATTACTAATATGGATTACTATTGGAAAGCACTGTTGAAAATTTACAATTAGTTTATAAAGTATAGTCATTAGTTTTCAAATATTGACAATACAAACAAATTTATGTTTTTTATGGATTTTATATCACTTTTAAATTTTGTTATTAATACACAGGGTCGGCTATTTAGGACAGGACCATTTAAAGTGGAAGCAATTGTCAATGACTAATAGCTATAAACTTAGCACTTGTAACTATTAAAATTAAATTTAATTAAATTTTTGAGAAGACAGGTCTACCGGTTTCGCAGATACAGAAAAAATGTAAAAAAACTACTACTCTAACTGGTTATTAGACATAGGGGGCGTCCATTAATCACGTGAGCGTGTTTTTAAGGATTTTTAGACCCCCCCCTTGGTGATATTTGGTGATATTCAAAATTAATCCCCCCCCCTCCCTCAGCAAACATCACGTGTATTTTTAGTTACGTGAAAAAACTGTAAAATTTTTGATTTTTTTTTAAATGTTTGAACTTTTTTATAAAAAAAAGTAAAATAAATAAATACACATGATATCTTGCTATACCCCTGCCTCCCCCACGTGATATTTCGTGATTTTTATGTACATAAATTCATCAGATATTTTATTGAGATTTCAAAGCTAAGCTAAGAGATTTGAGTACTAATTTTGTTACAATTTTTTTGGGTTCCGTACCAAATTTTTAACTTTTAAAATTCACTTAGGATCGTTCAAGTATTACGTAAGCAGATTTACTACAATTATGTACCCCCCCCCTCCCCTTGTCATCAAAAGTAAGCAAATTTCTTAACAAAATAGGCAAAATAAGCAAATCAGTAACCCCCCGCCCCCTATAGTGCTTACGTAATACTTGAACGGCCCCTTATGCGGTTCAGTAAAGTTCAAAACTTTCAGATATTTTTTTTCAAAATTTTCAAAATATGCAAAGTTTTACACTTTAAATATAGATCTTAAATTTACAATTCGGTTCAAAACTGTATATATTTTATATGCGTTATTGTAATCGTAAGAAATATATCCTCAGATGGATACATTCACGAATTCACGGATTCACGAAATCTCTTCTTAATGTAAACATTTTCAAGTGTTTTGAGCGATAAGATCGCCACTGTATATTAGTTGTATGAACGAATACATAAGGGATCGTTCAAATATTACGTAAGCAGATTTCCTACAATTATTTACCCCCCCCCCCATCCCCCTTGTCAGCAAAAGTAAGCAAAGCTCTTACCCCCTACGTCCATGCTTACGTAAACATTTTGCAATTAATGCAGAAAATAATAATAATACCTATGACATAATTATCATCCAGACTCCCCTGCCTCCCATGTCAACTCAAAATAAGCAAATCAAAACCCCCCCGCCTCCCTATATTGCTTACGTAATACTTGAACGGCCCCTAAGTATAAAGAAATTATAATTATTTTTTTGAAAATATTTAAAACAATTGTTATTAATCATTGACAATATTGTTTGCTGGAATATTTAATTCTGGTACGGATAGTTCCAGCAATTTGCCTTAAGGCACGAAGCCATGCACCAGTAGCCACTTTAGTTTATGTTCAAACCATTTGAAAAAATGATTCCATTATCACTTTTCGCTAAGCGA